CCCCCCCCCCCCCACCCACCCAAAACCCCACCCCCACCCACCCAAAACCCATCCACACCCAGCATCACCTCGTTAATGTGAGGCCACCCAAGGGCGATATTGATACTCAGGGATTGTAACGTGTGTATTCATGCATTGTTTTAAAAAATATTGGGCTTCATGAAAAAAAAAATCGAAAATGTCACCCAAGAACCTTTCCATCTTGTACCTTACATAGGAAGACTACCACGTGCATGAGGACTGATTTCTATGGTTCTGCAATCTCTGTCTGGTTCAAGCTGAGCAGTTATAAATTGTCTGAAAGGCGCCGTGTTCACATGATGAACAAAAGCCTATGGAGCCGTGCTTAATTGTTCATTTCCGAAAAGAGGAGATTCGACATCATTTCCGTGGAATTCACGTACATGACGGCTGATACATATAATGTACAAAAACAGGGCCGTAGCCAGCAATTTTAAAAGGGTGTTTCTTTTTCCAAAAGTGGACCTTTTACAATGAAACCTTAGATTACCTAGATCACATTTTACCCAGAATGGGACCTTTTCCTGACAAAAAGGCTACGGGCCTGAAAACCGATACCACAACACAATGCCGTACCCTCCATGTATCCAAGAATTGGCACTATCTTCTTGTTATAGAGAATTACTGGTAATAATTATGACGGATACAAGCCTGGGAATCGCCAGCTTTTTTATTTATTTATTTATTTATTTATTTATTTATTTATTTATTTTCATAGTGGTAATAATTATGACTGATACAACGAAAATACTGGCTGCAGTTGAAGGCGAAAAAGCCTGGAAATCGCCAAAATTTTGCTTATTTGTTTATTTGTTTATTACATTTAGGCATTTATTGATCTATGAAAACTTTTGTTTATTTATTTATTTTTAGGTAACTTATATTATTTCACACTGTTTTGAAGACCCAGTTGTCCTCACTTGCCCCCCCCCCTCTTTTCCCACCCCCTCTCTCGGTGACTTCCATACAGTGTTGTCACTCACCCCGCCGTCACCCCTATTTTCAAGCTAGCACGTTAAAGGTGACAGAGTCAGATCACGACACGAGGTCTTAATGTACAGGTGCTAAAGCTATTAAACATACGGCAAATACAGGAGAGTGCTCCTCTACCTTACCATACAGAACGCTAACCCACAACCACTGCATAATTATGCTTGATTATTCTAATAACTACATGCAGTTAGAATGATTTAGATGTCATTAGGGAGTGTTTTGTCCTATCTGTCTTCAAAATACGTGTTATCTGCGGTGAGTGGTCTGAATTCAGGAATAAATCAATTGCCGACCAGGAAATTAGTGGATATTACTCCGATCAAGAATGTATTACTGGTTTTTGTATATCAACGTGTGAGCTGCTAGACTTCAACGAACTGCTGAACCTGCTGAAAGCCCACCATCCCTAAGAATAATAATTGATCAATTATCAGTTTTTTATATCAATTTTTACTTTTACCATAACATAATTATGTTTATATCCTGTAATATGTTGGTAATTAAATTTATATGATCGAAAGTTGGTTGAGTATATGGTAAGGCGTATCTCCGGTTTTTGGTCCATTTAACGTTGTTTTAAGCAGGTCCTCGTCAAATGCCTGAACTGGTGCAGGGTGCAGCCGCTCACTGCGATAGATGAGAGCGCGTCTCGAGATAGCAAAGTCACCTTTTGTAACGCAAGCTGGGGGAGAGGGGGGGGGGGGGCGTGACCTGACCACACCGTCGTAGTGAGCCTATTAGATAAATATGGTTCCTCGGCAGGAAAATGAGGTACGCTGCCTTTTTTACGGAATTTGATAATGATAGAAGCGCAAAAGAAGTGGTTTTATGAAAGATAAATGGACAAGATCGAGGCACGGCCGTGAACACAGGAAAGGTTGTGACAAGAAAAATTGCTTTGATTGATTTCATATCATTGATTAATTTTTACCGTATCTTTAGGTTATGATTCAACATGTATACAATACGCCGTACTTGAAACTGTGGTCCAATTTCTTCACCACGGTCTGCAACCGTGACACTGGACACATCTTATTTTGTTGAAATAAATAAATAAATAAATAAATAAATAAATAAATAAATAAATAAATAAAAGTAAATGAATAGATCGATACTTAAATAAAATAGAAAAATGAAAATTTTGTAATAATGTAACACGTTCAGGGATCAAATGGATAAAAATAAATAAAAGCCAATATATATCTCTGATACCCTTGATTTGTCATTGCATGTAAAAATATCGATTTAAACTGGGCACATCAGAGAGTGGCTACCAGCTACCATTAGGCACAAAGTTACTCGTTAACTAAACATCCCTTTCGTATCTTCGTGACGGAGCCAGGGATGGTACTGTGGTCCACGCGCTGCCATCCCCTCAGCTTCACACGGGTCTTCCTNTCGTGTTTGCAACCAAACGCCGGCAAAACTGATGAACACGGTAGTTGCTAGTGTTTCCATGCAGTGCCGCAAGCATTATAACAAAGTTCTTTGAGAGAATTGGATGCTTGAGATAATGACGCTAAAAATATCAAACAACTGAAATTGCTAATTTTGAACGATACAATTTTCAAATATAAATACATTTCTGTATATTGAATTATGCAGTTTATCGTCATTATCACGACCAAAGCTCGTCGGCAAGATTGAAGATGTAATTACAGCAATTGACCAAGTGTTAGAAATAGAGTTCATTTTGAGATCATTATCCTTCTAACACGTCCTAGTATATATGTAGACGTGCTACGTCCTCGGCTAATACAATGTTATTTACTGCTCCAACGCCTACGAAGGCCTCGCACCTTTCTTTGTTACCGATTTCTGATAACAAATTTGTAGTGCTATATATTTTGCTGATGGAATGTGGATGAAATTCATTGTACTTCGACAAAACTAGAAAGCAAAGGTAAGAAACAGACAAAAAACATCGCAAATGGCATCAAGGTGTTGAGGACGTCAGTGAGACTGATTATTTTGACATGAGGATTTGACTGCGCCAAAACAGGAAAAGCAAACGAGACCGTGGTTTGGCGTCAATTGCTGTACTTCATTATCACGGTACAGGTTCGTGGAAGCAGTGAAAGTAAAATCACGCAAGCAGTCTTGTTATGTCCATGCACAAAATCTCCTTGACATCGCTTAAAAGACAAGTTGATCACGTTAGGCCAAAACAAACGCCGTGGAAGAGGCTAAAAGCACGCGTAATCATCTAGTCGGCGAAGTCCGCTCAGACGACACTTAAACGGGCTTTAGGGGCGCTCCGAGAAATAGTTCACGATCTTTGACAGAAAAGCCTTTGAACTGAGCTGAGAGGCTTATTATATTCGTGGCATGACATGAGTCAACATAGCAGGCAGCAGCGAAAATTTGACCACGGGCACAAATTACAGTAATGGTTTGAGAAGAGAAATGCCAACATGTAACATGCAAAGCTTAAAACTGTTTTCGGAACTTGATATTCTTTTTGAAAAATATCAAAACTAGCGTATCTAAGAGCAACGAGACACCATGGAATTGGGCTACGAGGTATCGATGATTACTATACAGGCGGTCCTGACAATACTGATCGGGTTTGGAAACATTTTGGTCATAACTGCATATTTTCGCAACGAAAAATTGCAAACTACGACGAACTGGTTTGTAGTTCAGTTGGCCGGCGCTGACTTGCTGGTCGCCCTGGCGATGCCTCTACAAATTGCCATGTTTATCCGAGACGATGTTGTCCAAGATCTCCACGTGTGTCTTTTCCGATATAGTTTTCCCATGAGCTCGATAAACGGTTCGGTACTTTGTCTTCTGGCTATAAGCGTGGACAGATACGTGTCAGTTATCTACCCACATCAATACAAGAGTGTATTGACGGCCAAAATTCAAGTACTCGGCGCTGTATTCGTTTGGGTTCCTTCTGCGTTTGTGATCGTTTCAGTCCACTTTTTGGGGTTGGATGACATACGACCGGGAGACCCGGGGAAGAAGGTATGTGACTTCTTGTACGTTCTAAACCCTGACTTTATCAAATATATTGTACTGCCCGTGTTCAGCGCACTATCGCTAGCCATTATAGCGTTATATTCAAGAGTTTTCCACTTGGCTCGAAGGCACGCAGCGGCAATAGCTTCTCTCTCGGAGCACCTGTCGGTAGTAAGTAATTCTCGACTGAAAAATAACCCGCGGCAAATTCACCGAAAAAACATGAAGATTTCAAAAACAGCTGCGATCGTTTTGGGAATGTTTTTATTCTGCATGGTACCTTTTTTCGCTGTTACGGGAATCCAGGTATACACGGACCAAATATTCTCCAAAACGTGGATGACCATACGAATGTACACTACAGTGCTGTCAGTTCTCAACAGCGCCCTGAACCCGCTAATATATGCGTGTCGTTTGGAGGACTTTCGTGGAGAGTTTCAGAAAATTCTGCGCTTGAAACGCAAAGTGAACGCTGTTGCACCTCAACCTATGCGCCGACTGGACAACGAGCCGGGCAGAAATGAAACTAGTAGCACGGGTTGCGAAAATGAACCAAAACACGCTGCACCAGTCGCGCTTACATCAAAGTCGAAAGTTGCGTTTTCATTGACTTTGAATTCAGGAAGTGTGGACAAAGCCATTTCAGAGGTATGATTTTCATAATCGTCAAATATAAGGGAACCAATGACAGATATGTACGTTGGTATAGTTAAGTTCACAGTGTGTTGGCTACAAAGACAGCTAGCTACCAGTCGACATACACATCATGGACTAGATTTTCAGTGATGACATTGGCGGCGTGAACTATTGAAATCCGGCGCACAATGTATGCTTTCCATATCTAGCAACGCGTTCAGCAACTTTAAGATCAATGTTTTTTGGTCCGGTTGCATCAACAATTGATCAACGATTATAAGTAATACGTTATTCATTACACCTTTTAGTTATAGATTTATGCACTGGTTTAGTATTTGTTTTACAATGAAAGTGCCGTAGCATTAGAGATTTGCAAACAATGAGCTAGACTTGTACTCAGCTGCATTTATCTACTTCAACGCTCTAAAAAATTGGCGTCAATATACGTTTCTTTCATTTTTTGCTTCACTCAGCTATCTGTTCTTTGTCCCGATTAATACAAAGTACTTATTTTGCACACTTTGAATGTTACATCATAAACAATTTATTTCTGTATCATCACGATCAACATGTACATGTGATATGACGGCTGAATAGAAATATACTTCACAGTAGCTCTTGATTTCACTTCCTGGTGTTGATGTATAAAAAAAAAACATTGATGTAATCTAAGGACAACGAGACCTGTCATAAACCTGCATGTTTTCCACATCACAAGGCAGAGCCGCCATGATCGGGTTTCTTTTGATTAAAATGGCAGAACTGGACTTGGAGGGTTTCCAAGTCATGTTTCCATGGGGTTGCTCGCAATCCGTGAAACACGGCTATAGCTACAATCAAAAGACGACTTTATTGATTAACTAATGATTTGGCTGTGTTCTTCTATACTAGCTTTATACAACTTTCTAAACTAAAAGATTTGTCTTGTTTTGACCTCTAATTCTGACGACATATCCAAACAAAGAAGACACTGTGCAACATGTCAGAAACTTTAAATTGACAAAAGTAGGCACAGTGCTGACATTTTATAACAGATAGAAAAATTACTGAGGTAGGATAAAAACAGCAATAATCGTATAATAATAATCGCAAAAACCAAAGTTGCCCTTTCCTTATCCCGATCAGAACTTCTCCGTGAGCAAGAACAGTAACAATGCTGTAATTACATAAATTACCACAGGATGGCAACCACCCTTTTTGCCCTTCCCTGCACCTGCGTAAAACTGGTATATCAGACACGATTACAAATGGCAATTATTACGTGTCTAAGTCGTTAATTAAAGCTTCCTCGCAAATGATGTTATGACATTTCATACCTCCAGTGCAGTCATTCTCCGACCGCGTGTTAGACCGCCTGGTGCCTTATGTAAGATTTAATGACTTCGGATGCAGCGTTAATAAAACAACGAGATGATATATATAATAAAATAAATATGTTTCTGAGTGCTAAGTATATGGTGCAGCGCTTATTAAGATGATATTAATGGTGTGCGTGAGTTCTTCATATTTAAGATAACTTCATCCCATCACTCCAATTACTTCTTTCCTTGTATATCAGTCTAACCACTTGACAATTTCAAAGAAAACTGCCACCACTGAAACGAAAAGCCAGGAACATAACCGAAACATTTTAACCACAGAGGCAGCAGAATTTCGACCCCCTGCAAGCGTGGTAGTTGCAGACGCGCTACTGGTGACAGTGCTAGCAACGGTTGTCGTTGGCGTCGCAGCGGTTGTTGATGGTGTAAGCGACGTTGTGTTGACTGTGGAGATTGACACTGTAGATGGTGCTGTGGTAGCTGTCTGTGGGCTGGGTGTGACGGTGGTGGTAGTTGTGGTAGTTGTGGTGGTTGTGGTCGTCAGTTGCGATAGAGACGAACTCTTCACTCCGGTCCAAAACACGGCCTTTACTTGCACAATCGTGGCCCTGAAAATAAACACAAGGAGTTGACGCTGGCGACACTTCTGCCCGTCCACCCCCCTCCTACCCCCCAAAAAATACTGTGCTGCCGATAGATGCCGCCAGTTGTAGCACATCAATACACACACACACGTTTGCACTGCCAACAGCACGACAAGTACAGCAATCACTTTGATGTAATTTTCTTTAACCAATAAATAAATAAATTGCAGTTTGTAATAATATAAACTGTTTTTGAAACTATATTAGACGTAATACGCAGTGCTAAAAATGTAGTTTCCAAGGCAGAATAGAGAATTTCAATTATACAAGACACAATTGGCCATGCTACAACCTACTGGCAAGGTTTCTCGAAAATGCAAGTCCAATGCTTTACATAATAAGGATGTGGAAATGAAGGAAAGGAACATTAATACGTGACATATTGGCCAAGCAGAATTTAAATCATTGCGTGTGGCACGCTCTTGAAAGTGTGAAAAACACAAAATTCCTAAAAATGGATTCACTTAAAATTGCCATCAAACCACCAAAATGTTGCTCGGGATTACTAATTAAATCATACATTTAATAGCGTCTGGACAGCTATAGACCTATCTGTGTTAGCAAAATTTAAATTCATAGATATTCTAGCATCATAGTACCTCAGGTATTTTTTATAGTAGATACATGTATTGTTAGGCCATAGTAATTGTAAATACATTCTTCCGAAATATATCAGTAAATATTTTGTTAAAGCGGCTCACTGAATCAGGGCGTCACTGTAAAATATGTAATCGGCGAGATAAGCTCGGCTGTAATATCAAGGCACGGGGATGAATACATTGTTTGCCTTTTACCCCTTTAAAAATTTGACGCTGGGGGGGGGGGGGGGGGGGGGGGGGGTCCCCCTTTGCATTTTTGGGGGGGGGAATGTTAAAACTTACACA